TAATTTGATTTATTACAGGTCGAATTGGTAAATTCTGTTAACTGATTAGCTATGTAATCTTGCCTCGTTATAGATGAAAATCCAATATTGATAGGAACAAATCGTTGCATAAGGGACATTCTCACATTGGAAATAATTAAACTGGTATTTTGCCTAGAAGATTAATTGAAATAATTTTTAGGAACTCATCGGTCAAGCCTTGTCGCAATTAACAAAGAAAAGTTAATAAATGTTTTTCTGTAATTGTCCTGTTCTGCGCTTATGCAACTGGATCACAAAAAGTCTGCAAATCTCTGAATTGCTCTTTTGTTAATGAAGTTAAGGTTTTTAAAGTTTACATTACTGATTTCACCAATGTTCTCAAAATTTCCATAGTTTTGGGAATTTCTTGAAACCATATCACGAAGTATTTCCAAAAACACCTGTATTTCTGGACCTTTCACAGTAAACGGTCTATTCACATATTGCAGACCATCTTGCAACAATGAAAAAATTTTATCATTTTCATCTAAATGATGTTGACATATTCTTGCATAATTCGGAATAAATATATTTTTTCTCAAAAAAACATGAACTCTACAATGTAGCGACACTCTCTGAATATTCTGTTCAGCATTACAAGTGCAGCATGTGTGGCTTGAAGTTTGAGTGTAAACATTGAGACGAAGACAATGTGGATTCTCTTCTAGCTGTCTTACTTCATCATTAACTGATATCGAACAGTTCAAACAAATCCTAGTAGCATTATCAATATCGATATGAGGTCTCCCTGCTGCATCTCACCTCGTGAAAGCGATTTCACGTATTGCTGCATTTTCCTCCCCACGAATAAAAGAAGTATGTCTGGCAGCTACTTTTTTATTACAAATGTAACAGTTAAAGGTATTTATGAAAGGCATCGTATTCAAATTAGCAAACTTTTAGAAACATCTACCGATTCAGAAGTGTGAATGAATATGTATTATTTGACAACTGTCAACTGAATTTAGCATCGTATAGTTTTTGTTTTTATAGGCTACTCAGTGATGTCCGAGAGATATTATCGATGTATTTTATCAGCTGAATTAGATACGAGCCATAAGGAAGTCGATATTTCTCATATGGAAAGATTGTGCTTTCACATATGATTGTAAAATGAAACATTTCCAACAAGGGTTATCAAAGGTATTCAATATGAACAAGAAATCAATCAGTAAAATAAATTTACTATATAGACGAATATTTAGTAAATCCTTCGATATAATTGTGATTTCTCATACTGATTCGCATACATCCCTGTCAAATGAAGGAGATCGAAAAAATATTTAATCCGAAACAATAGCCTAATGATTTTTTCTCAACTCAACTTGTATAAATAATAATTAATTATGCTTCTATTTTGAACAACCTCGTGCGATATGATTTATTATTGTGGATAAGGCAAATTGGGTCGTTGTATTTTCAAAACTCATCTACCGAGAGCGAAATCACATTTTCAATATCCTTGAAAAATATGCCTACTTAACTATGCCAGGTTATAAATAGAAAACGGTAAATACGAATTTTCTGTAATTTTTACCCAAATTCACAAATCACATTTACTATGGAATGCTAAAATATAAAAGAATTTGACAATCAAAATTTTAGTATACAGGGTAAAATGTAACAAAAATATTTCAAAATCCTAGAGAATAGATATGGGTTATTTGAATCACTCTGTTGGTCATTTCTGATTTTGGTTTCTGTACATTATCACCTGATTCAAGTGAAAATTTTGTTGAAATGTAAAAAACGAATCATTGCGAAACAATAATATATATCGCAACGAAAACTGTAAATCGCTCTATATAAAATAATAAATCTAATATTTTCGGTGTATTGTGGCCTCAACTACAAACAGTTGAATGAGTTATTGTGATTTTTTAACAATATGCATGAAAGCGTCAATTCATTGTAGAGTTTCATTTTTCATTTTATAGTACCCAAAACTAATAACGATTCATTCTGTATATTATTCTTTGAAGTTCATAACATATATATGGAAGTTTGGTCTGCGATCAGAACTATAGACTCCATTCAGTTTTTTTCAATTCTACCGATAATTATGTGTGGTATTAACTAGTTAATATTGGTCTGAAAGTGACATTTTCCAGCTTTGATACCTTGTATTTCGAAAACTATACATAGAATTTTTTTGTGCCTATGGTGACTTTTGATCATTAGATCGAGCTCAACAAAATACTAAAATTTCAAGCGATTCCACAGAAAGCCATTTTGATAAACAGTGTGCGTGGTCCTTTATGTAAAGTTGATCAATTCCAACTGCCCGCTCTCAGTTTGTCTGTGCATTTGTGCGCGCTAATCTCAAAAACGGCTTAACCAATTTGGGCGCGGCTTTCACAATATGAAACACTCGAACTACGCTCAGAAAATTACAGTATATTTCACAACCTTTCTGCGTCCTAGCATACCCTCCATTCGGAACGAGCTCGCGGTTTCTGAAGATTTCTCTTGATAAAATATAAATCATCAGATTCAAAATTATAGAAGAGTTTTTCGCNACAAAAACAAGTGGGTCATACAGATTATTTATCTATGTTTGAGTTTGTAAATGATAATTTCAATTTTCAATTCATACTTGCAATGTTCAAAGTAGGTCAAGCGGGTTATTTATCTGTGTTTGAGTATTTGAATAATAATTTCAATGTTTAATTTTAACTTGCAGCTGTTGTGGACTACTCACAGAAAGCATACCAAGATGCTTTTGAAATTTCTAAGGCCAAAATGACACCAACACATCCAATCAGGTTGGGCCTGGCACTGAACTTCTCAGTTTTTTATTATGAGATATTAAATTCACCTGACAAAGCATGTCAGTTAGCGAAACAGGTTAATATATTTTTTTACAGCATGGGCAGAATTACATGGATGGCAATTGTTCTAATTTCAGGATTTTGAATTGTTGAAACAAAATTTACTCTTTATTTTTTTTTCATGTAGAAGTGGTAGAAGACTCGCAAAAGGCATATCAAGAAGCATTCGATATAGCCAAGTCCAAAATGCAGTCCACTCATCCAATTAGACTTGGCCTTGCCCTAAATTTTTCCGTATTTTATTATGAAATTATAAATTCACCAGCAAGAGCATGCCATTTGGCAAAACAGGTTAATATAATTTTTACCTTGTGTGATTTTTGGTAATTATTTATTAATATTGCCAATTTGTGATGTAATTCTGCCTGTATATTAACAAATAGTTTTAGCTTAATACATCCTTCAACTAACAGGTTTAACTGTATTCAAAGTATTTGTGCTTACTTGTTGAATGATTAATAAAATATTTGATGTATATCTCACATTTTTAGGCCTTTGATGATGCAATAGCAGAATTGGACACACTAAATGAAGATTCTTATAAAGATAGTACCCTCATAATGCAGCTGCTCCGGGATAACCTCACACTTTGGACGAGTGACACACAGGTATTTTAAGGAATAATTTCAAAATTATTATTACCTGAAAACTCCAGATATAATCGAGTTTTTGAACTTCACACTTCAGTTTTATACTTGATAATGGGTCAAACCCGAAACCGGTCGTATAAATGAAATCAACTAGTGGTAATTAGACAAAAGTGTTTTTTATTCATTTCATTAAAGTGATCATGAATTACTACAAAACAAACAAGTCATCAATCTCACATATTCAAGAATTTCTGTTGTGTAACTTGACTTAACATATATAACCCAGTCTGCATGGAAAGATATTTCAGAAATATAAGGTTAGAGGAAACAAAATTTGCTGCTCTGCATTACAAGTTTTCAGAAAGAACTCATGAAAAAAAACGACTTCAGAAAAGTTCACAAAGCTAATGCCTGGCAGAAGAAGCGGAAGTATTATTCATCGAAAAGTTAGACACATAAAAAGTTACATGTAAGCTAGAAAGTAAAAATGAGAAACTGGAGGAATCAATTAAGATCCTCAAAGTTGATTCAAGAGATCAGTGAAATGAAGAAAATCAGCGAAAATATGCACACTTCCAAAGAACAAGATCAGAAAAATGAGAAACAGTTTGAAAACTGCTACGGTAAACAGAGTCCTACAACAAAATTTCAGGAAGTCAAGCAACGAATGCCTTAAAAAATAATGATCCAAAAGACAAAGTAGCATTTAATGCAGAACAAATGATTTTAAAACTGTATGAACGACAAAAAAAAATCCTTCAATATCATAATGCTAAACATTAATGAATTCAATCAGACCTCTAGCACGCAGAGAAGTGAGGATGATGAAAGAGCAGTGAAAGTTATATTAGCTAAAATTGTAGTCGATACAGATAATATTAAAAGTTTTCAGACTAGGAATGTTTCAACCCAATGGGTCAAGACCACTGAAAGTTTGCTTCCCCAGCGTTGAGGAAGCCTCAACAGTATTAAAAAGTAGACGGGCAGTTGAAGTCCCCAATATAAAAATATTTGCAGACCAAATAGATGTGATAGGAACAACAGACATACTGGTGGTGTGCTTATCTATGTTAAAGATGGTATTGAATTCAGAAATTCTTGTACTAAATGGAAATTATTGGATTCTGTTTGTTGAAATCCTTGTGAGTAGACAAAAATGGTCGATAGGTGGAGTCATCACTCTCCATCTTCTAGTGATGCAATTTTTCTTGATAAACTCTAGGATATAGGAAGATCAAACTCTTCCTCTTGAAGATGATCACTTGGTGATCGAAACACGTTAAAATAACGGTTTTGTGTTGGGAAAAAACTCCATTAATATTCATTACTACACCAAAGGTTCCAAACAGTGCATCACAACTACTATTACTAGCATCTTTTCTAAATGGTTATTGTAATTATTTTTTTGCACGTTGTACCTATATTATTGCCTTATAATTTGGGTCAGCTTTGGAAATGGATTGGTAAAAAATCAATTCATTTTTTTTTTGTGTAATTACTGGGGAATTGAAAAGTCTCTTATTAGATTTTAATTGTTTTTCTGTTTTTGGAAAGTGCAAATCAAAATAAAAACCGACAGTCGAAAAAGCATCATTCAATTTTCCCGCAGTGTAAACAGCTGACCAATTTTCACACCCAAGTTGTATAAAGAAATCACTTACTGATTAAGAATTATGATGTCTTATTATTTTGTTTGTTGATTGGGTTTTTTTTCCACTTAACAAGTGGTCTGATATACATGTTTCAATGACTTTCCCTTTCATATCTCCTTCAAAGTTTGTAATAATATTATCAAGACAAGTGCTGGACTGAAGAGTGACCCTATACAATAACAATTTTCAATTGAAGGTGATTCATTAGCAACGTCGCACTTGAAGTGACCAACGGTTAATCAATCCTCTTACCAACTCTGCAGAGGCGTACCAAAATAATATTTTTATTTATTAAAACACAGGTAATTACGTAAAATTGTTATAGTTGGTGGCGCTACCTGGTGTCAATGGTCAAACTGATTACATTTTCTTATTATGCCTAATACAGTACTTCAAAAAAACAAAAAAAATACAAAATAATTATTATTCCCCAGTCACACTTAAATCTATTATTATTTGGTCGAAAACAGTGTCTACCATCCCGTCCAATCTCCACATTTCCTCTTCTTCCTTGATCACATATGGGCTACAGCATTAGCCCAATCTTCTTTCCGTATCCGTTCCATTGCGAGTTCTAATAAATGTTGGACATCAGAAATTTTTTATGTCACGTTTTCACGTGCTACGTAACCCTTAATTTGAGCCCAGATTAATTTTATCGGATTTAACTCGCAATGGTAAGGGGGAAGTCTCAAAATGGTGATGCCTTCAGCACAAGCTATTGTATCCACCACATGCTGGCGATATCTGTCACGATGCTGTTTAATGACACTCATAAGCTCGGCCTTAACTATGTCCTGGGAAAATGGAATTCCTTTTTGTCCTAACCAACTCTGCATGTCTGCTTTTCTGGTGGTCATAGTTGACAGCTGTTCTACTAATTGGCTGTGATAAGCAGCGATGTCCATTACTATTACCGATTTTGGCTCGACTCGTGAAAGATGGGATTCAAACCATCCTTCAAAGCGTTGGGCGTCCATGTCTTCGTGATAATCCCCCGTTTTTTGGATAAAAAAAATTAGTGCACTATCGTCTAAAAAGCCACTCTCGCTACCTATAAGGGCGACAATTAGTCGTTGCCCTTTACCCGTTGATCCGCGTAACCCTGTTGATAACCGTCCAAAAATGCTTGATGATTACTAGTTACAGTAGTATCTTGCCAGATCTTAGATACTGTGTGACCAGCATTCACCCACGTTTCATCCAGATAATACATTTTTTTGTGAGCAGAACGTATTTCTCTAATAGAGCGAAGATATCTCTGTCGCCATGAGACTTTCTAAGACAGATTTACGGGATCGTTTAGCATATATAAATTTTAAATTTTCTTTTATTATTTTCCTTAACTTCTCTTTGCTCATTTTTGGAATAAGATCATTATCCATTACCTTTGTCCTAATGGATTCTAGGGTTGGCGCTTTATTCTCAAAAAGAAAAAATGAATGGTATAGCGTACAAAATTTTTCTGGTACTCGTCCAATTAAATTTTTATTCTACCACGACGATGTACTTTTGGAGCTTGCACAATCCCAGTCACCTTTTTTTCACGTACAATGCGTTCAATTGTCAACACGGATATTCCCGTTAAAATTAAAAATGAACACTGGGCTACAGCTTACACTGTACGGAGTGTATTTTTTAAATTTTTGTACACTCTACAATCTGTTTTTTTCTAACGACATCAACTTCCGCTTTCTTTGTACATTACTTGGACCTGCTACAGCATCCATCTCAATACCATAAAAATAATAAAATCCAATCATATTATTCAGCTATTTGTCAGTTGTTTACTTACCTCAAAAACTATTTTGAAGTTGATGTATTTTAAAAAACACTTTATTGTGAGATTTTCACTAGAACAGATTAACAAATCCGCAACACGTGTTTCGCTGCACAGTAGCTTTTTCAAACGTGTTCACTAACAAACTGAATTCTACATACATTGTGATTTATATATACCTTTTGATAGATAGTTTATTAATCTTTTAGGTGTACATTCATTGTTCATTTAAAAAGCACAAATAAGATTCGTCAATTTCGTCATATTGTATTAGATACAATACAGATATTAAAACTATGTTATTAAAATATACACAATAAAATTTTAATGTGGTTTTAATATACTAGAAAACTCAAGAATCTTAGCTGGTTATTGCAATCTATTGCCCAAGATCTATACTTACATGACTAGAGGACGAGGTCCTAATCTCCCTTATCCCCAAGTCTCGTTACTAGTTCTGTTTGCTGTGTTCCACTCTAAGTTCTTACTTGTCACTCTGTTGTTCAGGGCCCATATTTATGTTGTTGTAGCAAGTATCTGGTTTGCCTGACAGGGTACCTGAGTTATTTTCAGGTATCTTGCGTCACATCAATGTCCTCCATGTTTGTGGTAGTCTCTGTGAATCATCTCGCTTGTTACGGCAATTGGGGCGTTTTTCAATTTCGATTGCTTCCCGAATTATCCTGGCCTGAAGATTTTTCTCCGCAGCAATGGTCTTGGTGTTTTCGAAGCTTATTGTGTTTCCTGGTGATGTTTGAAGAGAGATGATGCTAGATCTGATTTGCGAACAGCTAGCTCATGTTCATAGGCTCTGTTGGAAATTCTTCTTTTGGTCTGGCCGATGTAAGTTCTGGGGCAGTTTGAACATGGTATTCCTTTCGTATATGCCCTGTGCTTCATTGGATATTGTGTCCTTGGGTGTTCTTAACATAGTGGAGATTTGGTTGTTGGCTGTGAATACTGTATGTTATGTTTGTTACGTTATCCGTAAAATTTTAGAAAAACTCCTAAAGGTAGGCAACCAGGAATACATTTCAATTATCTTTCATATCACATACGAGAGCTGCTGCCATCATCGATGAAACGAGGAAACCTTTTGTTTGTAGCGATAGTTTTTATTCAGAAAATGGCTCGAATATCTTGAACGCTGAATTCTGTCGATTTCATATTTTACGCTTTAGGCGGTTTTAATTGATCAGTGTTCCTTTCAACAGTGATATTTGGTTGAATAATTCGTCGGATTAGATTATCAACTGTCGATTTGTCTCTACGGAGGATTTTAGATATCGGTCCTTTTTTTTTGTGGAAAAGGAAGTCAACGTCTCGCGATTATTAGGGAATCGGTAATCGAAAACGTTTAACCCCATATATTGAAATCATCTCGAGGAAATAAAAGTTACTCGGAAGACAATATATATCATTCGCTGGTAGCAATACCGTAATATTCATGGTCGCCTCGTAAGGATATAATTAAAGAAGTGAACACCCGTTCCAGGAAGTGCAGTACTCCGTACAATCCAGAAATCTGGCTAAGTCCCGCATAGCGGAATTTGTTCTTGATCATTTATTTTGCTTTCCGTAACTTCCACGGGCCAATA